ACAAGAAGACATGCCTTATGTTCAGTTTCTAATTCATTAAACACCATATAAGTTGTATGGTAGATGTAATAAAATATAGAGTGATCAATAGAACAAGAAGACATGCCTTATGACACACACAAAATTATATTTTTTTAAATATTTTCTTTCAAATGAAGATATTAAAACATATTAAAATGTGAATTATAAACTATGTACTACAAATGTAAGTATCAGTTTCCAGTGAAGGGAAAAGTTCAAATTAATCTAGTAAAAGTACCCATCCTCAGTGATGGGAAATGTTTAAGCTAGTGTATCAATTTATTTCATGAACTTTGAAAAGGTTAATTGTGTTGCACTCTTGGTTTCACTCAGAGCCAAAGCTCTGAGCTACTTATACTGCCCACCATGAAAAGTAGTTGTTAAGCATTTCAGTCATACTAAGAGCTGTTCGACAATAACATATGGTAAGTCTACCTTTTTATTCTTTAAGTTAAATCACATTTTTAAATGTGGAAGATAGTGATTAATTTCTACCAATTTGAAAAATAAAATTTGATATCAACATTATTCATGTCCGTTCTCCCTTCATTTCAAATGCAGCACAGGAAGCAACGGGAGACAGAATGCTCAGACAGCATGGTTTACAATATATACAAAATGTTGATTCCAATTTTATTAACATACAATGATAATAAAGTTCTTCAACCCGTTCGCAACGGGCTAACATATTTTATGATAGCTCGACTAGGGAAGGACATTTATGCAACAATACATATGGTAACTTTGAGATATCATCAGAAAACCTGGTAAGATTTTGTTATAGTTTATAAGTATCTTCTACACAAAGAATGACATTATTTTAATTACGTATTTCTACTAAAAATATGTTATTTACCTGTAGTAGTTATTTGCACTCAAACTCTGAATAGTTCGATTACAAGGTGATTTTCTTTTCAAGTATATCAATACTTTTCTTCATCATAGAGTTTTCATATTTTATTTGCATAATCTCTAGAACCTCCTGAAAGGATATCAAAAGTTTTTTTTAAGATAAATGTTTATATTTTATTTTTCCATATCACTAACTGTTGATATTATCATCAACATACAGTGTGTAAAATTAAGAAATAGAAAAAATTTATATAATGTATATTAATTTTTTTTAAATATCTTTAAAGATTTTCCTTGTGTTAAATTTGTGATTTTATGTATTTTCTTTTTCACATACAGTTAATTTTTTCTTCTTTTTTTTTCCTTTCCTGTCCTTTATCTTGTATTACTCATCTCTGCACAAATCAGTGGTGCCCTTAGGGCATGATTGCAGTATTTGCAACAGAGATGCCTAAGCCCTCAGCAGAATTATCTTCCCCTCGTGCAAGATCTTAAGCATTGAGAACTGATGCAAAGTATGATGTGTATTTTAAAAAATGTTTAAACTTTCAATTATACATTTTAAAACATAAATAATACATACTTAACCAAGATATAACATATAAGACCTAAATACAATTTGACTGTATCTCTAACTATGACACATTTAGCTAAGAAGAAACTAAGTGTTATCATGGATAAAGCAGCCAACAATACTACAGGCAGTTACAAAAACTAAGCACCAATTTCAAAATAACTTGGTCGATTATAGTGTAAAATGAGCTCTTTCTAATGATTATATACATGTTTATGTGGCAACTACATGTATGTTATAAAGCTTAGGTAAAAGTATAGAAGAGATAAATAAAATTTATTTGTTTCTACTCCATTCAGCAAGAGAACTTTGACACTTATGTGTCAGTAGAACAAGTTAACATACTTAATTGTTTTGACATATATCTACAGGACTGGTGTTATCCGAGTCAAGATAGGAAGTGTGAGAGGAAGTTGAAATTTATCATAGCTCACAAAATGAAGTTTAAGTTGTTTTTTTTAAGATAAAGGAATTAAAACTTTGAATCATAACATACATTATAATGTTAATTTCATTCCCATAAAATGGTAGTAAAGTTGCTTAATTAAATTTGAATGTAAATCAGTGACTTGTGCAGAAAAGTGTCATGAAAGGGTTAATTAGGTTTTGAAGAGAACTCCAAGATGTTGTGACATTCACCCTTTGACCTGATTGTTGACAGAAAGCTAAAGAAAATTGTTTTGTATTACATAATAATGATGATGCTAATTTTTTAAATTCCTAGCTATCATTGTTATTATTTTGGTTATAGTGATTGCTTCATGAAATGATAAAGATTGGGTATATAAATGTAAGTTTTAGAATATATTATGATGATACAAGTCACATTTGTGTGTTAATGTATTGTTTGGTCTCCTACCATGTTTGTACTTTAAATGAAAAAACTTGCTCCTATATAGAGGATACAGTATGCAAAAACAGATTCAGAAATTATTGCCAAAATGAAAGGAACATACGTAGAGCGTCCAAAGAAACCAAAGGAGACTGAGGTAAAGAAGGGTAAGAAGAAAGTAGCCAGAGAGCCTCCTAAGCCTCAGCCACCTAGTCACCAGCCAGTGGGGATAACTACAGGATTCTCAAATCAGAACCCTCCAAATGTAGCTCCAGCTGGTATGATACATTTTAAATATTTATTTGTTATTAAATTCCAATAAAGGATGTAGAAGATATACCTTGCAATTTTTATCACAGATAAAAAGTTGATGTTTTTTTAGTCTGTAACAAGTGCTGAATTTAAATAAAGCTATGAATGTAAAAGTCTACTCCTTTTTTATGTTATGATTTAATCTGTAACCAATGACTCGTGAGGTAACAACTGGTTACTAAATTTCTGAATCTTCTAGCACAACAACCAGTAGCCCTGGCACCTGAAATGCAGCCACCAAACCAGATTCTGTTCCTTACAAACTTACCTGAAGAAACCAATGACATGATGCTCTCTATGTTGTTCAATCAGTAAGTTTATTTCTATCTTTTGTTTGAGTGAAAACAGAGACTGAAGGTGTAATATAACTATGTTGATTATTGATAACTGTACAAGAATATCTCAGTTTGATAGGAGTATTATACTAGTAGAGCAGGGAACATAGTCTTTCAGCATGTTTGGTCCACAGAATCTGTAAAGATTGTATATCAATTAGTATTTTAGAAATTTAGTGAACTTGTAACTAAACTCACTTAGTATCAAACTTTTTCTTTTTTAAGTGACTTGGATTTCAACATTTTGGAATTAAAATTGTTTACAAACATTACCATTTTTCACAGCTATTGTTTAAAGCCACAAAAGTGTCAAGTAAAAAATAACATTTCAGCTCAAAAAAAAAAGAGTAGTTTATGTGCTTAGACATTCGTGTTTTCCACAAATATGCTAATTGTTACATTTTCTCTATAATTTTTTAGAATTTAAAAATAGTTTAAATTTTCTTTTACTTTGATAGAAACTGTGCCAATTACAAATAAAATTGGAATTTTCCTAAAATGTTTCATAGGAATTAGTCACAATTAAGAAAAAGTAACTTAGAAAATCTACACGTTGTGATGTTAGGAAATTATTGTGTAGATACCATTTTAATAAAACTGATGTTGCAAATTCAGTATTTTTAGAGAAAACATTCAGTTCAATAGGGTATTACTATATGTGTATTAAAACATTCAGTTCA